CGGCAGGCCTCTGGTGACCCCCTGGTGAACTCCATTCCAGTCACCCAGGCCTACCCACTATCCCTGAAATGGCCAAGTGCAGCCTCCTTGGGGCCGTCACACTTGCTCCATCTGTCTGGAATGTTCTTTGACTCAGGACCCACCCTCCCCCCGTGGCCCACCACTCACTTTATTCAGGTGTCAGCTGAAATGTCCCCTCACCCAAAAACATTTCTCGTGCGCTGTCCCCGCCCTGTTTTGGTTTTATTCGCAGCGCTCACACAGCCTGGCGCTGTCTTGTCCATCAGCGCGATGGCCTGGCTCGTCCAGGGCTGTGGGGACTGTCCTTGAGCTCCCTGTGCTGTTGATAGTGCCTGGCGCAAATGTAGCCTGTTAAGCATGGGCACCGACTGAGTGAATGAGGGGAAGTGGTGTTTCTGGGCATCTGAGGTTGACACCGCAGAGGGCACCTTGTCTTCCGACAATCTTCTTGGCACCTCCGCCATTTCTGAGTCCTGGCCATCAGGGAACCGTCCACCTGCGTGTGGCCTTGCACTTGGGACAGAAGGCGCCCTCCTCGGAGACTTGGTTTGTCCCTGGAAGTGGGTTGGGGACACCTGCCCAGTTCAGACTGCCGCCTGTGAGATGTCCCGTCTGTGTACTTGCCCCAGAAATGTGATGATTGCAGAGTTTCTGCCTCTTTGTTGCTTCATTTATCCCCAAGCCCTGAGGTGCTGCATCCTGGGGCAGGAGCCCCTGTGAGACCTGGATGCCCTTGAAGGCTGAGCCAGCTGGTTTCTGGCTCTTTCCCCGTAAAGAAATAGCAAACGCCTCTCAGTGGAGCTTGAGGGAGACCCTGAAAGCGTCGTTTGGTTTTCCAGGCACGACGTGGCAGCCCCCCTGAGCCCCCACTCGCAGGAGGTCTCCTGCTACGTCGACTACAACATCTCCATGCCTGCCCAGAACCTCTGGAGACTGGTGAGTCCCACTGGAAGCGGGGTGATGGCCGTCGACACGTGCACTTCTAACACAGAACGTTTGAAACCGCCATTTAGAGTACTGCTGACTCGGGTAAAATTAGATAAGTGGTTTATAGTCATAAAAAAGTCACAGATGTTTTCACAGGGATCAGAGACCCTCTTCCACAGACCGCAGGAACCTGGGTGATTCCTGTATCACAACAGGTTTACGGGACGATTGGTAAATGCTGTGCTGGGCTCTGTGTGGCCCACGTGGCTCTGCCAGGCGGAGATGCCCTCCTACTTGGTCACTTGGTCAGCCTCAAGGCCAGGGCACTGACACAGGCTGGGGGTTCCGGCCACACTACGTCACCAAGGAGCCGCTTCTGTCACCCTCTGGTGGTAACAGGCACCTTCCTGGGAGAGGCTTGGCCCCTGGGGATGCCCCTTCCTGAGGCAGCTGGGCTGGTGGCCACCTTCCTCCGAGTGACCAGGGGAACGTGGTCCCCTTACAGAATGACCCTCACTCTCCAGAGCTGCACATGGCGTCCTGGGGAAGGTAGCAGGAGGAATGTTCTGGTAGTGAACCATTGGCCCGTCTGAATTCAGCCACGTGAGCGGAGAAACAGCTGCAGACGGTGCTCACAGCAATGGCCCTGGGGTCCCTCCATGAGTCAGACTGCTCCTGGCCTCCCGCTGGCTGCAGCCACTCCCCACTTAACACCAGCACCCCTGCACCCCATTTTTGGTTGTCCACAGTGTGAACGACTTGTCCAGCTCGAAGCAGGGCCACTGGTGGGGGCTGACTCTCCCTTCTGCAGCGCGGCTGCAGATGTCCCCACCTCCATGCGAGCTGTTTGCGCCCACCCCTCGTTCTGATGGAGCCTCGCTTGCTGCTGAGGGCTCGTCGCTGATCCCTTTCCTCCTCCTCTTCCTCAGTCCCTGCCGGCGGCCCCTCCAGCCCCACATGGAGCAGGAGGGAGGACAGCTGATGGCAGGGCCGGCCCCTGGGGTTCTCTGATCTCATCAACAGCTATGTGACCTCGTGGGGTCATCACGAGGCTACGACAATGCCAAGTGCTCTTTAGATGTTAGTTTTTTATTACCCGATATCAGGAGTCCCCCAAGACACCTTTCAGGGGTGGTCTCTAACCTCCACTGTGCCATCTTTGCACTTGAGCCCGAGCTCTGGGCCCTCTGGGTGAACAGGTACCTTTTAGACCCCGAGGCCTCTGCCACAGAGCCCCATGCGGCTGTCAGGGAGGGTCAGCCTGCCGGCTGCCCTTGGGCATTCGTCCCCTTGTATCAGCCAAGTCAGTTTTCACATTGAAGGGAACCTGGAAAAGGATGAAGTAACCGACCAGACGTGCTCTTACAGGACATTGTGAACAGAGAGTCGCCTGCGGACACCTGGAAGACCATCCTGTCTGAGGTGCGCCTCGTGCACGTGAACACGTCGGCCATCCTGAAGGTGAAGGCACCCTCTTCCTGGCACAGCCAGAGCCGGGGCTTACGGCGCCTGTGCGCCCCGATCTCAGGCTGAGCCGGCCCTTCGGGGCAGGCATCTGCTAAGCCGATGCCGTGTTTGCACTGAAGGCGGGCGGAAGGCCTTTATAACTTCTCAGAACCAAGCCCTAACGGAAGACCCCCAGAGGCACTCCTGACCTGCTGACATTGATCCATCGGGCGGGGGTCCCCTTCCCGCTGGGGCGAGCCAGGGCCGGGGCCTCCTGGTCACACCCTTTGCCCCCCCTGTCTTCCAGCTGAGTGGGGCGCACCTCCCTGACTGGGGCTTTCGGCAGCTGGAGGTGGTTGGTGAGAAGCTGTCTCGGGGCTACCACGAGAGCGCCGTGTGGAACGTGGAAGAGCACCGCTATGGCACGAGTGAGTCCCCCACACAGGGACCTGGGCGCCTGTCAGAGGCGCTCCCTCCCTGGAAACAACTAAATCATCACCCTGAGGCGTCGGCGGGCAGTGCCGCCAGCTTTCTTGGGTCCAAAGCCCTAATTTGCTGCCTAGTTTCGCGTGTGGGGAAAACTAAATGGAGTCACTGTGGGTGAAAAGCAGGGAAGGGGAAGCCAGCTTGTGACCGAGCCAGCAGCGTCTGGGGTGAGCTCCCCGCCCTGATTCTACTCACGTTCTTTTGTGTTCTGGTGTGTTCTGTCAGGCCAGGAACAGAAGGAGAGGGAACTGGAGCTGCACTCACCCACGCAGGTGGACATCAGCAGAAACCTGAGCTTCATGGCCAGATTCTCAGAGCTGCAGGTGAACTGTGGGCGGAGGGACAGAGCTGGCTGGTCGTCAGAGAAAGCGCTGTGGTCTGTAAGACTCTGACCTCCCCAAGCCAGTCTTTAAACTGGGACCTGACTCAGCAGTGAAGGGGCGTGTCGCTCCCCACTGTGACACTCACAGCACTGTTGGTCCCAGGACTCTGGCTTTGTAGGCAGGAGGTTCTGCAGCAGCGTAGCCTTGCCACGTGGCCTTGCCACTTGCCGGGGTATGCTTTGAGGCCCCCCACGTCAGGTGGAAATGGGCCCTGGTGAACATGGTGGAGCCCTAGAGCTGTCAGAACCACAGTCTTGGGGTCCCGAATCTAGAAGTGCCCTCAGCACTGAGGCCAGTCACTTCATCTACAGACTGACTGGAGCCCCTGGGGCAGGCCACCACCCGGGATCAGAGCCTGTTTAGAACTCAGGTGTCCTGAAGGGCGTGCCCCTCAGCCCGGCACGCTGCCTCTGCCTCACGAGCCGAATGAACTGGAGGTGGGACACCCGCGTGAAGGGACAGCGGTTTGCTGCAAATCCTGACAGCTCCCTGAGTGATGAAGGGTCTGGCTGTCCGCGTGCGTCTCAGGGGCCTGCGGCTTTATTGCAGTGGAGGATGCTGACAGTGAGAAGCGATGACACGGAGCACAAGTACAGCTCCACGCCGCTGGACTGGGTCACCCTGGACACCAACATCGCTTACTGGCTGCACCCCAGGACCAGTGTAAGGGAGCTGTGGGCCCAGAGTCCCCTATGCTTCCCTTTGCGTCCTAGCGTCCTCCAGAGCCGTCCTCACAAAGGCCTGTCACTTGCTTTTCTCTAAATGCTTCGGCAGCATGGGGCCAGTGCTGGCGTCAGACGCCAAGGAGAAAGGTCATGTCCACGTCGGAGGAAGCCAGGCTTCTCTGCTGCTGTGGGAGCACATTGTCCCCCTTTTCTGCTAAAAGCAGTTTTTCAAATACACCCTTCATTCCCGCCTGGCACTTCACGTCTGAGCCGCCCATGCTTCCTTAAGTACGTCCTCCGCACGCACTAGAAGGAAGGCAGCACTGGCACCAGCCCGGGGCCCTGCTCAGCCATCACTCACTGGATGGGGGGAGGGGAGGGCTAAAAACACCCACCGCCCCTCCCACCAAGTGCAGCCCAGCGATCACTCAGGAAGCAGGCCCCGAGAGAGGTCACCCTTAGCTCTGTGTCACTCTGGGAACGGCTTCGTGGTCTCAGTTTTAGAGAACCGCAGAACTTTCTCGAAAGGCGCTCATTGGGGACAAGCACATCCAGGGCTGGAGGGTGCTGGGTGCTGGGGCGTCTTCCCCGTGGGCGTCCTCTCAGCCAAGGCTGTGCTGACAGCGTCTCCCTGTTGCTCGCTTGCAGGCTCAGATCCACTTGCTGGGGAACGTGGTGATCTGGGCTTCGGCCGGCCTCGCCACCGTGCTCTACGCCATGCTCTTCCTCTGGTACCTGCTCCGACGCCGGAGAAAGATCTGTGACCTGCCCGAGGGTCAGTGCAGCGCACCTCCTCCCAGTTCTGACCAGGCAGCTCTGCCCTAAGGCGACCTCTTTGCACCAGGGAACCTGAATTATTTTCGTGTCCCCAGAGACAAAAGGTTGCACTTCCTCTGCTCCCACACTGCCTTCGAGGCTTCTCCAGGGAGGTGCAGGAATGGGCAGGAATTGCTCCGTGCCAGTTTCCTGCAGGCCCTGGAAATGGCGCAGAGCAGCCACAGGTGCTTAGTCAGGGTGGTGGTGGATTGCTAGTAAAAAAACCCGCTTAAAACAGAAAGGAATAAACACCCGGGGTCTGCTGTCTCCCCACTGACGCCCCACTCCACAGCTCCCCCAGGTGTCGGGCTGACTATAGTTCCCATGAGCTGAGGGCCGTGGGGGTCCTGTGCCCGGCACACAGAGGCTGGGCCGGGCCTCCAAGAGTCGGGCAAGAAGTCAAGAAGTGAGTGCCTGTGTGTGTGACTCGGAGATGAGTGAGCCAGCCTGACATCCTGGCAGAGCCGCGGCCGATCGTGCCCAGGTCAGTTGCTCTGGCTTAAGGTGGCTCTTCCCCAGATTCCTGGCGGCGCTGGGTGCTGGCTGGGGTCCTGTGCGTCGGCGGCTGGGCCATGAACTACCTGCCCTTCTTCCTGATGGACAAGACGCTCTTCCTCTACCACTATCTGCCTGCACTCACCTTCCAAATCCTGCTGCTCCCCATGGTGCTGCAGCACCTCAGCGACCACCTGTGCAGGTACATCCCACAGCCATGCCTCGCAGGGGTCAGGGCCCAGGGGAGACAAGGGACAAGTCCAGTGTGACGTGGAATGGGTTAAGGTCACGCGAGGCACACACAAGGCGCCACAGGTTCAGAGGGCGAACCTGTCTGGCTCGCCGATGAAGGTTCGACGAGCAGTGACTGGCTGGGCGATGAAGAGCTGAAGTGGGTAGGACACGCGAGGGCATTTGTGGCCTAGAGAGCATGAGGAGCAAAGGCAAAAATGGATGTGCTGGTGTGTTCTGGGAGCAGCTGGGGGTTAGCGGCTGGGCTGCATGGACGTCCAGGAAGCTTTGTAAGGCAGAGCCAGTGCTGGAGACCAGAGCGGAGGGCACGAACTCTGCTTTTGGTGGTCGGTAGCCTCCAAGTTTCCCTGGAGGGCTGTGCTGTGATTCCGCTGGCATCTGAGTTTAGATGGAGCAGAAGCTGTGGAGATTTGCGTAGACGAGTGAGGAAGGCCCTGCTCCCGAGCCTCGAGCCTCGGGGATGTGACAGGGCAGGAGGAAAGCAGCAGGGAGGCTGGGGGAGGTGACAGTGGGGAGGAGCCCGCCTCCCTCACGCAGGCCGTGCCTGCAGGTCCCAGCTCCAGAGGAGTCTCTTCAGCGCCCTGGTGGTAGCCTGGTACTCCTCCGCCTGTCACGTGTTCAACACGCTGCGCCCACTGACCTACGGGGACAAGTCGCTCTCACCCAGCGAACTCAAGGCCCTTCGCTGGAAAGATAGCTGGGACATCTTGATCCGAAAGTACTAGGACATGACACAGTGAGGAGCTCCTGGCCGGGTCAGGACATGGAGGCGCTGTCTTTGACGAGTGCGTGTGGCTTGAAGCTCAGTGGGGACGGGCCAGGCCTGACGGCGCCTCATTTTAAGCAGTTTGTTTTTCCCAGTTAGTAAAGAACACGTCCCCAGGTCCACTAACCCCTAGGGGCCCGGAACTAGGACATGTGGCATTGAGCGGCTAGGGCAGAACTTGGGGATGGAGGAGAGGCAGGAAGGGGCGAGTCACGGTCACGCTGACAGGTGGGGTGGCGGGCTTTGGCTGACGGCCGGTCCTGCCTCCTGAGCACCCACTGGACCCACTGAGCTGGAGCCCACCCCCAGTGAATTCAGTGTCAGATACGCCCCTGGAGTGACCGGATGTGGCCCTCCCATCACTGTAGTGAAGACTGTTACCCCTCACAGTTGCTGGATCTCACAAACCCGAGATGTGGCCGAGGTGTGTGCGAACAGCATTTTCAAGTCGAGGTTTGTGTCACCCATGTTTCCTTGTCCTGAATTGGCCGTTTTTGGTTTAATTAAAAAGGGACACATTGGCATTCAAATGGGTACTATTTATTGACTCTCCAAAAGGACACAATAGGCTTGACCAAACTGTCAGTCATCAGAAACCAGCCACGCGCTCAGCCGAGCTCCACTGATGTCACTTATGTAACTAGTTACTACTCAACAGAAAGAAGCCAGGAGTGCCTGTGGAGTTTAGCTGGTGGCAGTGGGAAGGGATCACTTTTACAGAAACGCCACCATGTCGGAGGGAAGACAAAGGACACAACCACAGGGATTTGTGAGGCCACGGACCCTGGCTGAGCGCAGGGAGACGGGCTGGCCTGGGGCCGCAGCACACAGCTGGACTTGCCCTGGGCTACACTGGGGAAGGCCTGTCCGGACAGCACCCTGTGCTCAGGGCCCGTGCAGGACTGCGTGTGGACACCCCGCCCGCAGGGGCCAGGCAGGCTCGGGGGCTGGGCCAGCGAACACCCTGCCTTCTGTCTGATGCTGGTAAAGAAAACGCTTGTTGCCCAGGTTCCTTCCGCCCTCTGCCTTTGGAGCACAGGCCAGGAAGGAGGCATCTCCGAGGCTCCTTGGGTCAGTGTGCACCAAACTGGATCACAACTCGCTGGTGGGTCACGAAATTGGGTTAATAGGTTGCAACTAGCATGATGTTATGAAACAATAAAACAAAACATTTGGATGTAAAACATATAAAAAGGCAAGTATTATGTTTCAGTTATACATGTGAGAACGAGATCGTACTAAAAAGCCTCTCTCACTGTGGGATTGCTATCAAAAACCGGAACAGCCTATGTCCGGGTCGCCTCCTCCACCGTCCCCAAACATGTGACATGTGTACCTCCTGGAAGCAGGCACCGCGGGCTCACCACACCACCTGCAGCGCTTCTCAGTGGAGCAGACTAAATGCTCTGAAATGTGAGGGAGCCGGTGCGCACACCAGGAACACCTGCCGACACCCCGTTCAACAGGTAAAACGATGTGTCCCAAACACCACAGGCTGAACCAGACCCGGAGAGGAAGCAGCGGGGGCGTTTGGAGGGGCTGGCAGGCATCTCTGGGGGCGCCTGCCTGGAGGCCGAGCACCGCTCCTCAGTGGGGTCTGCTGCTGGATTCCAGGTGCGATCGTTTGCCAGGGGTGAGTATCCCAGGATGGTCTGGCTCAGGAAACGTCCTCTTGTAGCTCCGCCCATTGGACCCTCCACGGTGCCACTTGCAGATGTCACCATTCAGAATGTCCTGGATGTGTTGCACAATCAAGTTGATGGCAACTGCGGCAGACAAGAGTGGTTAGTGCCCTCATTCTCCACGGCAACCGCAGAGCCAGCCAAAGGGCTGCAGCTGCTCGCTGGCTGCACCCGCCCCAGCCCGCTGCGGCACTCGGCCGGGAAACCCCGTCAGTTACATCTGTGGCACAAAGTCTCAGCAGACAAAAACGCATGTCAGGACACGAGCACAATCAAACCTGGCTTGGTCTGCGAGGGTTTCTGCTAACTTAGAGCCCAGTTAAAAGATTTTCTGCTAACAGTGACTCCCGGTCAGTTTCGCGCGTGCGTGCGTGTTGTGTGTGTGTGTGCGTGCGCGTGTCAAAAAATGTATTCACATTTTAAGAAAGGAAAAACTATTCAAATTGTAATACTCAATATATACCGATAACAAAAGATGAATACAAGTCATTTGTATACATTTTTTGGCACTCCTGGTATATATTTTTCCACCAGCAGATGGGCTTCTCGGTAACCACAAGGGTCAGGGTGGTGCGGCCCTATGGCTCTGGGAGCAGAGGGGTCAGGCAACCCATTGGCCTGGCTCTTACCCATATTGTCAACCCCGCGAGGGATTATCACGTCGGCGTACTTCTTCGTCTGCAAAGCAAAAATTGTAAATTTTTAAAAAATAGCAGGTAGAACTCATTTGTCCTACTTATCTGAAGCAGGAATCCTGGTTTTAAGTCCTTTGTGCTGCATTTTTACCCTTAAGAAGAAAACATTGTTAAATTTCCCTTTAAAACACTCCGATTTGAGTAGAGCTGCAGCCCTATCCAGCTAGAAAGGTAAGATGGAAGAAGACGACTACACAACCGCAAACTCCTCTCTGCTAGCCAACTGGACCTTCAAGCGCCAGCCAAAAGCAGCCTGGAGAAACATATGGCGTGGATGAAGTTAAGCACCTACTACGTGCCAGAGAGCACTTTTGGCAGTAGGTAGACAAAATCCCCACCCTCCCAGAGTTTACCCCCTAATGGGGGAGGTGGGGGGCGTAAGCAAGATAGACCCTGTCAGATGACGAGAAGCACCCTGGGAACACAGAAAGCAGGCAGAGGCCAGAGCAGAGGTCTTAGGCAAGGCAGGGGGCTGGGGTGTGTGTGTGTGTGTGGGGTGTCTCAGGGTCACAGGGGCAATGCAGGTGACCTGGGGAAAGCCGAGGCAGGGGAGAGCAGGCCGGTGTGGGTGCAGGGGGCAGGGATTTGGGAGCTAACTACTCCCTGGCACTTGGGTACAAGAATCTAATTCTCCACTTGTCAATCAGACCACGTTCATTCGCGACTCAGCTCCCGCAGAACAGGGCATTGTGCGTCTTCTTGATCAAGGAGAAAAGGCATCCCCAAGTAGGCGAAAAGCAGGTACCGGCAGGCAGAACTCCTCGAAAGCTGGCTTCACGAAGGTGGTGTACTGGCTCAGAATCTGCTCCAGGTCCCTTCCGCGGTTCACGTCCCGGAGAACTGCAGCGGGACGGGAGCAAAGCGGCGACCTTCAGACCTCAGGACGCGAGGCCAGCCTCGGCCAGGGGCAGAGCAGCCACGTCTGCCTCACCTCTTCGCGACAGCCTGACATCGGAGTCGGTGTCCACAAAGAGGCGCAGGTGGAACATGTCCCGGATCTCCTGGCTGTAGAACACCAGGATGCCCTCAAACAGGACCACATCTGCAGGATACACCACCGTGGTCTCCGGTAACCTGCCAGGCAGCACAAGAAACAGGCCCTGACTCCAGGGAGGAAGCAAGGCACGGTAGGAGAGGGGTGTCCGCAGAAACCAGCGGGGCACAGCCGTCTGCAGGCCGGTCTGTGTATGCCCTGGAGGGGAAGCCCTCACCAGCTCCCAGCACACAGCCCCTCTCCTCCCAGGAACCATCTGCTTACCTTGAGTGGGTCACAAAATCATAGGTTGGGACCTCGACAGTTTTGCCCTCCACGATGTTTTTCAGAGTCCTGTGCATCAAATCATTATCAAAAGCATCTGTAGGGATGGAACACAGAGCAAACAGTCCAGGTGTTCTGTGGGGACAGCAGGGAACTTCCTCTGCCTCGGGCCAGCCCGTCACAGCGGGGTGCTGGCGGTACCAATGACCCCGAGGAACACTCGGGGTGGGAGCTCCCCCTCCAGTTTCCATTTGCAGAGCCGTCGGCAGTCCTGCGACCTACAGCACGGACCTGTCCTTCCCGACCTCGGGCAGCGCCACTGCTCAGGCCGCTGGCCCACCAGGAGTGTGAGCACAGGGATTTCCTGATCGGCTAGTGCTGGGAGGCGGGCGGGTTAGGCACCCGCTTCTCTCTTTCTGGGAAGTCACCAGGCTGACGCTGGCTGGGCCTCCTTCCCAGCCTCCTTCCCGTGTGTCCCCAGGAGAGGGATGGAGACGGGCGCCAGCCCCGGACGGGCACCAGCCCCGGACGGGCACCTCCGGGTAGCGGCCGGCAGAGGCGGCCGGCCTCACACACCCCATCTCCACCTGTTCCCCTGGCTCCTGCCCAGCCCAGGAAACGGAGCCTCGGGCCTCTTGGGGCGTCTGCCCCCGGGCATGTGGGGGCCCGAAAGGCCGCGGTGGGCAGGGGCGTGTACAAAGAGCCCCACAGCGTCCAGGTGCGCGGGTTTCTCCACGACCAGTCGTGGCGGACGGCGTCCCAAGGCCCCCGAGGCGCGGGCTCCTGCAGAGTCCACCCGGCGTAGCCCCCAGCCCGCTGCACCGGGCCGGCTGGGCGCGCACGGAGCCCCGCGCCTCTGGCATCGCCGCCCCCCCCTCGGGCTCGCCACGAACCTGGGTGGTCGAAATTGTACTGTCCCTTCAGGGCCTTGGCCTTCTGCTCCGCCGTCAGGACCTTGTAGAACCTGTCCTGGCTCAGGATGACCAGCTTCCGCTGCCGGTGGTCCACTTCGTTCTGCCCCAGCAGCTCCATGATCTTCTCACACACGGTCGACTGGGGCACAGAAACGAGGTCCCCCTGAGCCACCGCCCTGCCGCAGGCACGGGCCTCTCCCGGGCGCTCCTGCCCGGGCGGACCCGGCTTCTGAAGGCTCCGACCCAGTGAGGCGGCGGCGGGAGCTGGGGGCCCCGAGGCGCCGGGCAGCGGGCGGGGAGGCTTCGGCGGAGCCCCAAGGGCAAGCGCCCCGGCCCACCCGGGCCCGCCCCGGGGGGCGACACCTCGCAGCCGAGGGCGCGGGGCTCCGCTGGACGGAGGCCGGATCGCGCCGCCCCGAGGCCCAGGGAGCCGGGGTCGAGGCGACACGGCAGGCCCCTCCGGGCCGCCCGGCCCCTTACCTTGCCGCTCGCGGTGCCGCCGCTCACCCCGATCAGGAAGGGCCGCTGGTGAGGCCGGTCCGCCTCGGGCGCGGCGCCCTCGCAGTCGCCGCCTCCAGCCGAAGCCATCTCTGGCCCCTCTTGCCCGCATCGGGTTCCCCGCTGCCGTCGCTTCCCCGAACCGGCCAGCCCGGCCCCCCGGCTAAGGTCGGAGACGCCCCGCCGGAACTCCACTTCCGGGAGGCGCGCGGCGCGGCGGGCGCGCGCGGGGCATGGCGGGAGTTGTAGTCCGAGGCGGGCGCTGCGCCTGCGTGGGACGCGTCCCGCTGCTGCCCCGGAGGGGTGGTGCCTGGGCGCTCGCGGCTCCTTGTGCTGCATGCTTGCTGCAAAGGACAAAAGCCACTCAGCATCGCAGCCATCTGCGGGAGTCTCCAGACGCCCGGCGGCCTCCCCAGCCGAGACCCGTGGCCGAGAAGCTGCTTTCCATCCGCACCGCCAGTGCCTGGGCCGTCGGGAATGATCCCCGGCACTGCGGTGCTGGGGTGGGGACATGGGCCCGAGCCAGGGCCGGCATGTGGGACTCCTGAGCCCCGTGGCCCGGATGGGAACTTGGCACAGGCTTTGTCGCCTTCGTGTGTGGTCACCCCAAGAACAAGGCATCCATCCACCTGCAGGCCTCAGCATCTATCCCGTGCGCTTTGCTCCTGCCTCCACCTGGGTCCGACCCCTCTCATCAGGTCACTCACTGCCTCAGCCTGCCTCGGCGCACCCCCTCTGCAGCCCGTCTTCTACACTGGCCACCCGAGTTTCCTAACACTGCCCAGTTCGTGTCACTCCCCCACTCTCCCGCTAGAGCCTTCAGGGGCTCCCCGCTGTCTTCTGCACCAAGTGTCCCCCGGCCTCCTCAACCTGCCTGCTCCTGGTGGGCAGATGTCATCGGATGACTTTTTAGACTCACACATTAGGCAGGCTGTGAGCCAAGAAGGCAGAGAGGCCCAGGGCAGTACAGGTAGAACCTGTACACCCAGAGCCTGGCACCGAGAAGGCAGATAGTGACGGGTTCAAATTGTAGATTTCCCCAAGGCATCAAAGACTCTCTGCAGCTCTAGTTCCTAATGCATTGTGAGCATTCCATGAATATTTGATGATGCTGAAATATGATGCCGGAGAGGCTAGAGTAACATGCAGACATCAGGCGAAGTCACTGTTTATATAACTTCAGAGGTATTTAGCCATCTCAGGAGGGGTTACAAGCAGCTTCTGCTGATCAAGGGAAGGGGGTGCAAGGGGAACTGGGCCTCTTGAGCCCTGTGGACCTGGACAGAGGGAAGTTGATGAAGGGGCAGCTGGATCAACATAAGAAAGCCACCCTGTAACTGAGAGGAACTGATACAGGAGCTCAAAACAGGGAGGACCATTTACCCGTTCATAGTGAGCGTGGCAAGGTTAAGAGCCAGGCTCTGGGTTGAAAGTTGGGTTCAAACCTTGCCCCTGCTGAGTGACCTTGGGCAGTGATGTGATCACTCTGTCTCCTTACTTCCCAAATGGAGGAATGTTATGACTTTTAAATTAACAGTGGTTAAGTGGAATACGGGTGCTGGAGAGAGCAAGGTATAACAACAGATCACAAGAGAAATTGAAATAGAGAAATGTATTACTCACATGTCCTGGAGGAAGTACGCCTGGAGGGGCCACCCGTGAAGGTCAAGGCAGAGTGCAGAGGCAGGACCTGGGGCACAAGCCTTTGTTAGAGCCTGTGGGTGGAGTGCCTTGGGGTTCCCCAGCTAGGGTCGGATTGGTCAATTCAAACCAGAAAAGTGGAGTTTGGTAAGTTTGTGTGTATCTACTGCTGCTTTTGTGCTGTAACAGCTTGGGGGTCTTATCTGGGGGACGCATAAGGCATACGGGCACTGGGGGGCAGGGAGACTGCTGATCTCAAGGGCTGTTGGAGATGTCCTGTCAGGAGCTTACAATGTGCTCGTGACCCTGGGCTGTACCTAGAGCATGTGCTTGTCTGAAGGGGTCAGTAAGTTTCAGGTCCTTGCAGGCTGCTTGGCCACACAGAAGGGATGCGGAGGCAGCAGTGCCACGGAGGAGCTTAGCTTAACTCTGTGCAGGCTCCCATGCTGGAAGGTACACAAAGGGCTTGGCATAGGGTCCGTCCAGAGGAAGTCCCTGTTTGCCATTTTCTTCGATTCTATATTTGTCTATTTGGCATCCACTTCTCACAGTTAATTATATTAACTATATTTTCTTATCTTTGTATTCTTAATAATCTGGGCTTTGTGGGTCTTACGGACCTGGAGAGAGACTGCTCCTCCCTGGGCCAGCCAGTTCTTAGAGATAGCAAAGGGAGCGCATTGTTGCTATGCCAATGAACCGATCCCTCCCCCCCCCACACCTCTCCTCTCACACACTCCCACAAGCCCCAGGCCTAGACATAGTTCCTCTCAGACCCCACATTTCCCCAGCTGACTCTTCCCAGCATCTCTTCCCCCAAATTGTTCCAGGCCCTGCCTAGCTGGACCAGACCAGCCTAGCCTGTGTTCTTAGTGGCCCTGGCATTTCTCCTGGAAAGCACTCAACAAGCCAATTAAGTACTAGATCTGCAAGCAGCTGCCTGATGTTTGTCGGGAGAGCACATGAGGGCAGGGCAGTGGCTGTCTTGTTGGGCCGACCCTCTCTGCCATGGACAGTAAGTAAGAATTTGATGTTGCTGAAGGAGGCATCCGGTTGAGACTTGTCGCTTTTGGGGTTTGAATGTCTCAGGACCAGGTGGGGCAGAACTTGTGAGAGTGACTGTGACTCCCCTCTGGGATTCTCTGCTCCTGTCTTCACCATCCCTCCACGTCAAGTTCACAGGAGCACCAGAAACACAGGCTCCTCTCCTCCCCCATCCCCCTAACCAAACCAACCACCTGCAAAACTCCCATCATACCTCTAAGCTTTTATTGAACACAAGCTGGCACTCAGCACTTACAGAGTTGAGCACATGCCGTACGATTTAAGTAGCACTTCCTGCCGCTTTCCCAATTGCAAAAGTGACCCATGCTCATTTCAGAAAAAGCACACACACACACACACACACACACACACACACACACACACACACACTAGTAAAACTAGAACCACCCACAAGCCTGCACCCAGGGAAAACCGTCGTTTGTTTTCTGGGGTTTGATCTTCTGGCCTGATAATGGCTGTGACGGGATAGCGTGAAGTTAAACAAGCCTGGTTACATATCTTAACAGCAATAAAGCCTCACCACCTGTCAAAGGTTCAGAAAGTAAAACCGACCAATCACTGACGTAGTAATTAGTAAAAGTTTATTGAGCACACACCCATCAGACAGTTTGCAATCGGGAGTGCTCAAACCCAAACGTGGAATGAAACTCCAAGGTGTTGTTAGAAAGCAGCTTCTAGAGTGACAGTTCATTCTTCACATTGATTGGTTATAATCTTAGAAGTTTCCTAAATTATAGGGGATTGATTAGTGGCGACCTCGTAACAACTTTGAGAAACAGTTTAAGTTGTGCTTCTGATTTCTGGAGGTATAAGCAAGAAATGACCCAGGTCAAGTTAGTCTTGCAAAATCAGCTAAATGAAGTTTTGTATCACTGAGCTGGCTTTGTCTGCTCAGGGAATTTTCAAGGCTGGTCTCCGTTTGTTTTGGGTTCTAACAAACCCTGTGATGTGGGCACCGGTAATATCCCATTTTCCTGATGGGGAAATTGAGTGGCAGAGCAATTACCTGGCTAGCCCAAGCCTTGTGGCTGCAAATGGACTTCCAGTCAAGAAAGCTGAGCTAGCTGATGCCAGAATTCAGCGCACCATATTCACATAATATGCACTCTGGACACAGAGAAGTGCCCAGTCTCCCCATTCCCACACGAGAACGGGAAAGCCAAGCATATTCAACGATACCCAGGCCCCTGAATGAAGAAGATCCTCATAGCCAGTGGTTGACACTCAGTTGCCCATAAAGGAGCCCAGACCAGGTCGTGCCTTAGCGGGTGGGAGGCAAAGCCACAGCCCCCCCCACAGCAGCAGCGTTCTGGGACTGGCTCTCTGGTGTAGCTGGAGCCTGAAAGGGAGTGTCCTTTTGTGAAACTGGGACAAACCACTAACCAATGACTTTGGGTAGAAAGAGAGTCTTTCCCCAAGAAAGTGGAACCCTGGGCCTGCACTGCACGTGGGGCGCCCACACGGTGCAGAAACCCCAGGCGGAGACTTAAAAAGGGTATACAGCTGGTGGCTTCCAAAAGGGTCCACAGGGACAAATGCCAAACTGTCTCACATCCCAGAACACATGTGTGGCACCTGCAGGGCACCTTTAGAAGATAGCTGCGGGCCGGCTGGGTGGCTCAGTTGGTTAGATAGCGAGCTCTGAGCAACAGGGTTGCCTGTTTGATTCCTACATGGGCCAGTGAGCTGCACCTGAGCTGAGCTGCAAACAGGTGGCCGGATGGCTCAGCTGGTGAGAGCGCGTGCTCTTAACAACAAGGTTGCTGGTTTGACTCCGGCATGGGATGGTGGGCTGCGCCACCCCCCCACCCCCACCCCGCAACTAGATTGAAAGCGGCGACTGGACTTGGAGCTGAGCTGCACCCTCCACAACTAAGATTGAAGGACAACAACTTGACTTGGAGCTGATGGGTCCTGGGAAAACACACTGTTCCCCAATAAAGTTAAAAAAACAACAACAATGAAGATAGTGGCTGCTGAAGATGACCTCACCAAGATTACAAAGGCCATGAGGAAATCTGCCACCTGAAGAATGAACAATCAACAGGGGCGATAAATGGGCCAAAGCCCACCTGAGAAACTAGAGGCGAGACACCAGTTTGGAAAGGATGTTAAAATAGGTCTGTGGAAGTGTCTGAAGACGTGACCACTGAATGCAACACATAATCCTGGGCTGGATTCTGTACTGGCAAATAAATAAATATACCGTATTTTGCTGTGTATAATGTGCATCCACGTTTTCAGGCCAAACTTTCAGGGAAAAAAAATCTTTTGTTTTAATTTTTTAATTCAAACTTTATTTGTTTACATTTAGGTACTTGTTTTTTGTATTATAAAGGAATTTGAGCATTTATTTTTTAAACATATTATGGTACAAGAAATTTTATGTAACAAATAATCACAAAACACAAGAACAGATACAAGGTACAAGAAATTTTATGCACTGGTAACAAATTTATGATATTTACATGTCACAGAAGGCCAAGAACTCTTCGTTGTTGCAAGTTCGTAGCAAGTTCAACAAAACCGATCATCGTATTCCAGCGTATTTTTTTGCATACGGATACCATTATTGATTTCTAGAGTTACACTTTTAACTCATAAGCATAAATAAAAGAATTAAAAACATTTCTATAGATATGGAATTAGTACTATTCATGTATAATGAGTATCCTTATTTTTCCCTCACAAATTTGGGCAACAAAGTTCACATTATTACATGGCAAAATACGGTATGCTAGGAAAGACATTATAGGGTCATTTGTACCACTTGTGTATCTTTTCTCTGAGTTTGAAATTATTTTCAAATAAAGTCTTTGAAACCACTTGAAGGGAAAGTACACGGAATAGAGTGCATAACAACAGAAATGATATTACGGGGGGGGGGGATGTGGATTTTAAGAGCCAAATGAAAATTCTAACCGTGAGAAGACTGCAATGTATCCGACAGAGCGTGCCCCTCACCAAGGGTGTGTCTGAGGTTTCGGTGTGGTTGGCTTTATGCATTCTTGGGAGGCTGCCACAGATGAGAGGTGCCCCCAGTGCCACACACACCAGGTGCACACGATGGCCTTACGTGTTATTAGTGATGCTAGCCTCGATCTCAGGGCGAAGGTGGGGCTGCCAGAGTTCTCCGCCCGGACGCTTGCTGGCTTTCCCTTTGTAATGTCCTAAGTGTTTTGCAGGAGGGACTTTGAGATTGTGCAAATATTGTTTCTGTTTAAACCACTTTCACCCACTGGTGGGTCTTGCCTGCAGCGACTATTACTGCGTTGACCTAATGGTGATTTTCTATTTCCCTCATTCCTCCCACTGGTATTAGTCGCGATTCTGCAGCTATGATTTGCTGGTCCTCGTTCCCAAATACGTGCAGCTGTGCTGTCCGGTGTGGCCAAGTCTCCCCATTTCGCTGTTGCCTCACACCGGTCTTCCTGGCCCCGTGGGCATTTGCAGGCGTCGCCCGGCCCTTCCCAGCTCTGCCCGGCTGCTGCCCTCCTCCCACCGCGTCCGACGCCACCGCGGCTTTCCTCTCCGCGGGCCGGGTGGGCGGGCGGCACGCAGGATCGGGCCGGCACCGGGGCGCGCGGGAGCCACCTGTTGACACAGCGTGGGTAACCCAGGCGGTCAATTATTAACCGGCCGCGCAGCCGGCACCAGGAAACCCGAGCCGGCGGCGAAAGCGGAGCCGGGTCCGACGGCGGCGGGAGGCGCCGGGCGCAGGTAGCCGCGCCGCCCTGCTCGCCCCGCCGCCGGCCCGCGCCATGGACGCAGGTAAGGGCGCGGGGGGCCCAGGGCACGCTGCTCGGCCCCCGCCCCCAGCCCAGCCCGAGCTCCGGGGGTCCCCGTTGTTGGGCTGCGGGCGGAGGGGCGGGAAAGCGGGGGCGCGCCCGGCCTGGTTCCGGAGGCTCCTTCTGCGTGGCTCCAACCTGGCCCTACCCTGGGACACCGCCCCCCACCCCACCCCACCCCGAACTGGGGAGACCAGGAGGCTGCCGTGGAAAGTTCAGGCAGCTTTGGCCATGTCCCCATCAGGCTCTGTGGGCGCCCCTGCAGCCCCCCCTTTTCCCACCCCAGAGCAGGCAGCAGGGGCTCCAGTAGTGGCAATTTGGGGAGCACTTTCCGCTCCCCTCCCCCACACCCTGTCTTTCCTCTGGTGACTCTGTTCACCCCTCTGGCCAGGCTGAAGTCCTTCGAGCTGGGGGCAGGGGGCGACCCTGGCCAGGAGGGGCGCAGACATAGCCAGGGGAGGGAGACCGAGATGGCAAGAGACCCCACTAACTGAACTGGGGCCGTGAGAGGAGGGTGGAGTGTGGTGGGGGTGGGCTGAGCTGCAGAGATGGGGCGGGAAGGGCGGGCCCGCCGAAAGATCCATTCAAGGAGCCACGACGGCCCCCACCAGACCGGGCTCCGGAAGGGGCGGGGTGGGCAGTGAACCGAGACCCCCCCCGTCCCTGTCCCCAGGAGTCCCAGGCCGGCGGGGAGGTGCCGGGGTGGCGGCTGGGGGACCCCCGGATGGTGCAGAGCCCTGCCTGGCCCCCCAACGACCACCACGGGGGAGGCACCGAGGTTTCTTCTCCCGGTGCCTCGCAGGGGACGTTGCGAGGAGGGGCGGGCCCGGCCCGGCTCTGAGCGCCGCCGCCACCTGCGACCCTCCAGCACCTCCCCCACCTTCCCGCCGGAATGCCCCGCGGAGGCTCGGATGTCGAGAACCCGAGAACCCCGGGCCGCGGCCCTGGCAGCCCCGCCAGCACATTTATTTACTCTGCAGCCCTATCTCCGCGCCATCGGGCCAGGTATTTGCCCTGGCGGGGCCCAGGGAAGATGTGGTTTTTGTTTCTATAACTGGGGCAGGGGCTTGGCGGCCCCGCGGACGTTCCCGTGCCAGCATCCCGTGCCAGCATCCCGCAGGGACCGGCCTCGGAGCGGATCTGCCCGCTGAGGCTCGGGTTACCTGCTGTGAGCCTCAGGTCTGGCGTCTGCGAAATGGGGACAGGAAAAGAAAAGCCGCGAGGATGGCCTGAGATGTTATAACGAAGTTCCCAGAACGGGGCCTGGCCGGTCACAGCTTCACTGTTACCACTTTTGAATGATGGTTACTATTATTATCCACATTATACAGATGAGGAATCGAGGCACGGAGTGTTTCCCTCAGGTGCCTGCCTGTAAGGTCACACAGCCCGGGTTCATGCGTTGGCAGTGCGAGCTCAGTGTTAATGCAGCTGGAAGGCCTGTGCCCGCGGAGTTACTGCTTACCGGTGGTAGCTGCTGTTGACGGACCTCTTACCCGCAAAGCGTCATCCGCTCACAGCCGCGCAGACACCTGAATATGCTCAGATCATGGAGCTGTCGTAGTGTTTGTGTACGGAGTTGTATTTCTCGGTCCTGGACACAGGTCCAAATGTGTGCAACTGACAGCCTGGCTGGCTGGTGTCTCTGTGTAGTGGCGTATTCAGAGGGGGGTTGGGGGCTTTGTGTGGCAGGAGAGGTGGGTTTGGGCTGACAGCTTCATAAGTAAAGTCAGCCAGTGGCACTGGAAGGCCCTCGGGCTTCGTTGGCACACGCCGGTTCTCATCCCAGCACCCCAGTCAGCACAGTGGTGCCTGTCCTTTTCTTATTTAAAAACTCCAGCCCCTGGCTGGGCGGTGGGCTTGGGAGACAGCCCTGGAAACTCGGAGAGCATCTAACCAGGTCTCCACAGGGGCGGGAGTCTGGCTGGCGCCTTCCCCACCCAGGGCTATTTAGGTCCTCCCCTCCCCCACTTAGTTCAGCAACCCCTCAGCCCCACACAGGGGTCTGCCTGGAAGAGCCCAGCTCTCTGGACCAAACTTAACAGTCACAGAACTTTCTCACGTCCAGCGTGGCTTTCATTTCCCCTGCTTCTCATCGATTGCCCAAACTGGCCAGAACGCCCTTCCATTTTCTCACCTTCCTAACTTTCGATCGCTGGAGCCAGTGTTGGTTGAGCAGCCCTCATGGCAGCCTAAGCACTTCACTTGATGGGCACACACTCATTTCATCCCCACAATCCCCTCCCCCGCCCCCCAGGTGTCGTTTTTATTTTTTTTTTAAGGATGAGGAAACTGAAGAGGCACAGGGTGGGTGAAGGCCAGCAGGCAGCCTGGCCTCTGAGCTCTGCCTCCTGAAGATAAGAGACCCTCATCCCAGAGGCACCAGTCCCAGCCCCCAGGCACCGAGGGAGGAGATAAGAGGGACCCCATCTGCTGTCTTCCTCTCCACAGCTCTTCTCCCCTCCTCGCCTCCAGGGGCTGTCAGGCACAGGTACCCTCCTCAATGCTGCCTGAGTCCGCCCACGTGTCCACATCCCTTCGGGCCCCCTGCCTCTGTTCTGGCTCAGGCCATAGTCGTCTCCCCTTTTTTTCAGCCACTGCCCTCCCCCGCCACCTCCTGCCCTGATTCTGGTCACTTGCAATGCTCCTGGCACCCGCTGCCAGAGGAAACTTTGTATCAGTTACCAATTGGCTTTTGCTGTGTAACAAAACATAGCGGCTTAAAACAACAATCATTTATTTCTTGTGATTTTGTAGGTCAGCGGGGTGGTTCTGCTTGTCAGGGCCAGCTCATGGGGGGCTGGATAGTATGGGGATCAGCAAACTGTTGGCTGGGAGCCTGTGGCCTATTCAGGGGGACTTGTTCTGAACCCCTCACAATGGTGGCAGAAAGGTTCTCAGCAGCAAGTACAAGCCCAGAGGTGCAAGTGCTTTAAAATAATTTTTTAGGGCCGGCCGAGTGGCGCGTTAGTTAAGAGCTGGCTTGGGACACCAGAGGGCCCTGGTTCGGATCCCACATATGAGGGCCAGTGACACTGCCCTCTACAGCTAAGATGCTGAACAACAGCTCAACCTGGAGCTGGGC